TAGTGCAGGACAGGTCAGGGCTCAGATCCGTGACTTGAAGGCACCTAAGAGCAGCAAGTGTGACTGACCTGAGTGACCACTCCAGTCAGTGAATCCTTCCACAGTTTGGGAGGATGGAAATCCACATTGAAGCCATTTGTCTTGGGGAAGGTTTTCTTCTGATGGTCCTTACAGTAACAGCCAGGCTTCCTTCCTTTCCTTGGGCCCAGCATTCCTTCGGGATGGTGTATTTTGGCCTTCCACCATGTTGAGGAATTTCTGCGTGCAGGAACCCCGGTCCCAGTCGCCCATTCCAATCCTGCTTCTGATTTCATGGGGTCCTGGGTGCCTCTGCCCACCGTCTCCCTCTACTCAGTGCCTCTGTGTGTTGTAAAAAGAGGAAACGTCGCAAGGTTCTCGGGCTTCCCACATCTTTTTAAGGGATCTCATCATGTGGACAGGGGGCCTCTGTCATGGAATTGACAGCCTCTAATCCTACGTCGTGACCATCTTGTCAGTTAGGTTAACACAGGATAACACCATCATTACAGACAGACAGACAGACCCACACAGCAGGTCTGCTAGGCCTACTTGATTCAGTCCATGACAGGTGAGCACCAGATTCAGCAGTTATACAAGTACGTTTCTTCCTTTTCAGAGCCATTTGATGAAGGGTCATCTGTGCGTTCGCAGCCCTCACACGTTAACATGTGTGTTTACACACCAATGTCCATTCCTGTTTTATACACATGCCGTTTTATGTACGTACAATCAAGAGTTCACAGCATTTTCCTTGCAACTATCAAAAATATTCCTTTGTGGTTGCCTGTAGTAATTTGCTTACATGGTGTTTCATCATGAATATAGTGTTTTTCAGTCCTCGTTCATCTAAATTGTGTTTCTTAACATCATTTATGCACAGGAGGACTTTGCCCCTGCTTCTCCAGTGGTTTATTCAAACTTCTGGCCTTCAGGATTGCAGGACAGCTTCTTGCCTCCGGGCAACAGAACACCCAACATACACTATATTTTTTTTTAAATTATTTTTATTTTACATCGGTTTGCATGCAAAATTCATGTACATTGAGTTTTGTTTGTATACACTATTTCACACACTCCTCCATTCATATTGTCTTTTCTTACAATCATTCCCATACACTGTGCTTTATAAAATTAACCACCATTGATCTAAGCCCACCGTGACTTCACCTTTTCAGAGATCCTCACAGGATCTTTCCTAAATCATTCACCCCCTCTGCCTACCCACCAAACTTTGTGACCTCCAGATTTTTTCCCCTTCCCCATACTCAGCCTCTCTCCTTCCTTCCCTTCCCCCACTGGACTTTTGTACACACTTTTCTAGTGATCCTTCTATCTTTGCCATAATGACTTTATGCAGTATTTGGGGGTTTTTGTTGTTTTTTACAGAGGATTTGGATTTCCATTCATTCATTGCCACAGTTTTCTCCCTGCCCACCCCTCCCCACCAGCTCACTTCCCCCTCCGAAGAAAGAAAAAAAATTCCTTCATTAGCATACAATTCCCACGTCCCTTCCCCCCAACCCCCACCTGAGTACACTTCTCTATGCAACCTTAATTCTGGATTCCTGTGCTAATCATAATAATCATATATCACCTCTACTCTGTTCTTTCCCTCATCTGTTTCAATACAATATGCATAATTTATCCAGTTTTTTCTGTCATACCCCCATCCTGATGTCAGACCCATTCGACAACAGTGGCACCATGCAGTATTTGTCCTTTTGTGACTGAGATATTTCACTGAGCATGATGTCCTCCAGGGTTACCCACTCTGAATAATACTGCATGAGTTCCTTGTTTTTCAATGCTGCGTAGTAGTATTCCATTGTGTGGATATACCACAGCTTCTCTATCCATTCGTTTGTTGATAGGCCCTTAGGCTGCTTCCAGCTCTTTCCTATTGTAAACAAAGCTGCAGTAAACACGGGTGTGCATATATCTGCTTGGATGGCAGACATGGTCTCTCTGGGGTATATTCCCAGTAATGGGATTGCTGGGTCAAATGGTATCTCTGTTTGCAATTTTTTGAGAAAGCGCCACACTGCCTTACACAATGGTTGCACCATCTTACACTCCCACCCACAGTGAATAAGGCTTCCAGTTTCTCCATATCCTCGCCAGCATTTGTTGCTTGCTGTTCTGTTTTGCTATTCTTACTGAGGTGAGATGATATCTCATAGTTGTTCATACACTATATTTTATATGATTAGTTATGATTAATCTTTCCTTATTATTGTTAGTGTAGATCTGTGCTCATTCGTTTAAAGAGTCCTAATTGAATCTCTCCTATTCCTAGCCCAAACTTTATTATCCATCTCAGCCACACTGCAGTATTTAAAGCCTATTTCACATTAACACAGTCACCATAGAGTCTCCACATTTGGAAAAAGCACAATACAACACTTGTTTTATTACACACACCCCCCCAGATGATCAAAGCTGTGAAACATGTTAAAATTCAAGTCAGAAACTGTGTCAGAAATCCGTGCATTTACTAAAAGTGAAATGGGAATTCTTGTGTTTCCTCCCCCACTCCCGCAGTACCTTCCCTGTTTTGAAGAGACACCGTGGACGAGAGAAACCTGAGATGACTAGCAAAGACTCCAGCTGCGAGTTGATGTCCGGCCAGATCCCCCCTTTACCTGTGCTGCAACAGTGCAGCCCCCCAGACAGGAATGTCTTGACATGCTGTGAGTGTGGGGACGTCCTCTCCGACCCCTCGCCCCACACTCATCAGACCCGTTTCCACACCAGCTGCCCGGTGTGTCAGTGTGCGGACTGCGGCAGAGCCTGCAACTGTCCCTCTGTCCTCGCCACTGCCGTGAGGGCTCTGGGTGTGAAGAGACCCCACAGGTGCCAGGCGTGTGGGAAGGAGTTCTTGTGTACGTCAGCTCTGAAGGGTCCCGTGGAGGCTGCACTCCCCGATCTGCAGTGTCTTGGATGCCCCTCTTTCAGGAACGAACTCTCCAGTCCGTCCTCCCACCTCACCTCGCGGAGACAGAGGCTCTTCACCTGTAAAGAGTGCGGCAAAGCGTTCCGGCACCCCTCTTCGCTCAGTAAGCACAAGAAAAGTCACAGCGGGCAGAGGCCATACACGTGCCAGCAGTGCTGGAAATCTTTCAGCGACTCCTCAATCCTCATTGGGCACATGCGGACACACAGTGGGGAAAGGCCGTACGTGTGTGAATGGTGTGGGAAAAGCTTCAGTCGCTCCTCCAATCTCACAGCACACAAGAGAATTCACAGCGGGGAGAAGCCTTACGAGTGCACTCAGTGTGGGATATCCTTCAAAGACTCTGCCGCCCTCAGGAAGCATTCGTGGACACACAGCGGGCAGAGGCCGTATGTGTGCCAGGAGTGCGGCAAGTCCTTCGTCGAACCCTCCTCCTTCAGAATACACGCACGGACGCACAGCGGGAAGAGGCCCTACGCGTGCGAGGAGTGTGGGAAAACCTTCATCTGCTCCTCCCACCTCACGGTGCACCGCAGGACGCACAGCGGGGAGCGACCCTACGCGTGCCAGGAGTGTGGGAAAACCTTCACGTGTTCCTCCCACCTCACCTCTCACATACGCACACACAGCGGGGAGCGGCCCTTTGCCTGCAAGGACTGCGGCAAAGCCTTCAAGTACTCCTCAGCGTTCAAGAAGCACATGAGAAGTCACAGTAGGGAGAGGCCGTATGTGTGCAGGGTCTGCTGGGCCTCCTTTGGCAATGCCTTGGCCCTCATCAGGCACTCGCAGGATCACAGCCCGGAGCAGCCCTACACGTGCGAGGAGTGTGGGAAAACCTTCATCTGCCCCTCCTACCTCAGAGTGCACTGGAGGACGCACAACGGAGAGCGGCCGTACACGTGCCTAGAGTGCGGGAAAACCTTCAGCTGCTCATCCAACCTCACCTCGCACAGACGGACGCACAGTGCGGACAGGCCTTTCACCTGTAACGAGTGCGGCAAAGCCTTCAAGCAGTACACAGTGCTCACCAGGCACAAGAGAACTCACGGTGTGGAGAGGCCGTCCCCAAGAAAGCAGTGATGACAATCTTTCAGGAATTCCTCAGTCCTTTGCCACCACGTGCAGAAAGGGACAGTGGAGAGAAGCCCTTCTCGTGCTAGGCATGGAGGAAAACCTTCAGGAACTCCTCTCTTAAGCTTACACACACGGACGCACAGCTGAGGGTGGCCCTCTCATGCAGGAGTGTGGGAAATCCTTCAGCCACTCCTTCCACCTAAAGAAAGACAGATGCACATTGGGGCATGGCCGTACTGGTGCAAGGACTGTGGGAAGGCCTTCACCATCTGCCCTTACCAAGCACCTGGAGAGGCCCTACCAGTGCTTGGACTGTGGCAAGGCCTTCAAAGATTCTTCTCACCTCATCTACGAACTGATAGGGTACAGGTAGCCCCCAGAGAGGCAGACTGAAGAGACATCTTTTGGCAAACTTCTAGCTGGTGATATTAAAGTTTCTCACGTGGGGAAATTCCCAGAATCAAATGGGAATGAGGACACACTCCCACAAAACCTTTTGGGTCCCAGGAATAGCCAGACACAGACGTAAAGGGAAATGGAGAACTGAGAAGAAAAGAAACAGCCACTATGGATGCTGTCCACCCTACAACATGAAAACATGGGAAAAGAGAAGACCCACAGTCCCCAGAAGAAAAGTAAAGATTAGTGAATGAGTTAGTTCAATGTTTTCTCACTGTTGATGCAGGACCAAGCCATAGCCAACCCTCTCCTGTCTAGTTTCCAGAGGCAATAAGTCATGCTGGAAGACACTGCCCGTTTTTCTCTCTTAAAGTAGCTTGTTGATGGAACTTTAGGCATTTCAATCCACCATGTAGCTCTCTCCCCTCTAGGCCAGCAGGGTTCCCTCCCAAAAGCTGGAGGAACCCATAAGAGCACAAGCTGCCTTTTGAAACATGACTGGCATTGAGGAGCCCCTGGGCCTAGTGACCAAAGCTGTGCCGGAAGTGATGCATGGAGTCACGTGAAGACATGGGACGGATGGTGATGCCGGCAGAAAGAGCTCTAGTTCGGATGCTTCACACGACAGTGTGCAAACTCAAAAGGTTACACCAAAGCCTTGATCAGGAACTGAAGGAGGCACACAGCAAGCTGGAATTCCTCTTCTAACAGGTCATAAAGATCAAGGAGGAGTTTCTCCGGACACAGATCACAGAAGATAGGCAATATCGACAGACCCTGTGGAGCCATCTGTCTCCCAGCTTGTCCTTGTGAACACTTCCTTTCTGTGACCAGCAGAAGTATATGTTAGTAGTGAAAAATGTAGCAAGATGGAAAGACTCAGTGACTTGAACATGTCAGAGCCATGTGTTGAAAGGTTCCACTGCCCCGGCTCATTAACCAGTGTGTTTACTTACCTATGTTAATTACTCCTTTACAGACATACAGTTTTATATATGCAAAGTCACGAGTTCACAGCATTTGCCTTTCAAGGTTCAAAATTTTTTCTTTCCTAGCTTCCCTACGATAATTTGTTTCCATGGTGTTTCATGATGAACATAGCATTATTTTAGACCCTCTTTTGTCTGCACTCTCTTTGATATAATCCTTTACACACAAGAGGAGCTTGTTCCTCCTCCTGCAGTGTACACTCAGGTGGATTTGAACTGATAGCCTTCAGGATTGCAGTACAGCTTCTTGCCACTACACAACTGAGCACCTTACAGACAGTATATTTTATATGATAAATTACGATTTATCTATGCTGCTTCTTAGTATTATTCCTGCGAATCTGTGCCTAATCGTTTATAGAGTCCCCACTGAGTCTCTCCTGTTCCTAGAGCAGTCTTTTTCATCAATGTCAGCCACATTTTGCAGTGTGTAACGTATATTTCCCTTTTACACAGCTACCATAAAGTCTTGAGGTTTGGAAAAAGGACGAGAGAACAGGTGTCATTTTTTCCCCCTAGAAAATCTCACCTCTGAAATATGTTCAAAATCAAGACAGAAATCTTGTCCTTTCAGTGTGTTTACTAGTGGTGAAATGGGAATTCTTGTTTTTCATCAACCATCCGCCCTGCAGTACCTTCCCAGTTTCAAACAGACGCCGTGGAGGAGAGAAGGCTGGGATGAATAGCAAAGACTGTCTGCAGGTTGATGTGTGGTCAGATCCCCCCTTTTCCTGTCCTGCAGAACAGCCCCCCAGACAGGAATCTCTTGACTTGCTGTGAGTGTGGGGACATCTTCTCCAACCACTCACCCCACACTCATCAGTCCCGATTCCACACCAGCTGCCCGGTGTGTCAGTGTGTAGACTGCAGCAAAGCCTGCAACTGTCCCTCTGTCCTGCCGATGCCATGAGGTCTCTGGCTGTGAAGAAACCACACAGGTGCAAGGTATGTGGGAAGGAGTTCTTGTGTAAGTCATCCCTGAAGGATCCCGTGGAGGCTGCGCTCCCTGATCTGCAGTGGCTCCGATGCACCGGGCTCAGGAAAGATCCCCACAGTCCATCCTCCCACCTCACCTCGCATATAGAGCAGCCCACTGCCGAGAAACCGGTCACCTGTAAGGAGTGCGGCAAAGCATTCAGGTTCCCCTCCGTGCTCACCAAGCACCAGAGAACTCACAGCGGGGAGAGGCTTTACGCGTCCAAGCAGTGCTGGAAGTCATTCAGCAACTCTTTGGTCCTGCGACAGCACGTGGCCGTGCACAGTGGGAAGAGGCCCTGTGTCTGCAGGCAGTGTTCCAAGTCCTTCGCTGACTCCTTGGACCTCAGGAGGAGGCACACACAGACGCACAGTGGGCAGAGGCCCCACATGTGCAAGGAGTGTGGAAAAACCTTGATCCAGTCCGCCCACCTCATGGTGCACAGGAGATTGCACAGTGGGGAGAGGCCTTAACACATGCCAGGAGTGTGGGGAAACCTTCAGCTGCTCCTCCCACCTCACCTCACACAGAAGGTCACACAGTGTGGACAGGACGTTCGCTTGTAAGGAGTGTGGCAAAGCCTTCAAGTACTCCTCAGGGCTCACCAAGCACAAGAGAACCCACGTCGTGGAGAAGCTGTACGCGTACAAACAATGCCACAAGTCCTTCAGCGATTCCTTGGCCCTAAACAAGCACACCCAGATGCACAGCGGCGACTGTCCCTACACGTGTGAGGCATGTGGGAAAACCTTCATCTCGTCCTGCTACCTCAAGGAGCACAGGAAAACCCACAGCGGGGAGAGGCCCTACACGTGCGAAGCGTGTGGGAAAACCTTCAGCCGCTCCTCCCACCTCAGGAGACACGTGAGGACGCACAGCGATGAGAAACCCTACACCTGCCAGGACTGTGGGAAAACCTTTGCCTGCTCATCCAACCTCAGGTCGCACAGCGGGGAGAGGCCGTTTGCCTGTAAGGAGTGTGGCAAAGCCTTCAGGCATGCTGTGGTGCTCACCAGGCACAAGAGAATTCACAGAAGTGAGAAGCCGTACGAGAGCAAGCAGTGATGAAAAAGCAGGACACAGACATCACGGGGAATAGATAACTCAGAAGAAAGTTAAGGACCACAGGGAATGCTGTCACCCTGCAATGTGAATATATGGGGAAAGGGAATAAAAAGGCCCACAGCCTCCAGAAGAAGTAAAGATTATAATGCGTGAGCTAGTTAAATGTTCTGTACTGTGGACTCAGCATGAACTCCCTAGCCCACTCTCTAATTTTCAGAGGCCGTAAATCATGCTGGAGAAGACTGCCCATCTGTCTCATAGCAGCTGGACGGTTCAAACCCCCGGCATTTGGATTCACTGTGCAGTTCTATACCGTCTATGCCACCAGAGCCCCCCCCCCTTTCCCAGAATTTGCATAAATCCTTAAAGAGTGCAAGCTGCCTTTGGAGAAGATGGCTAGCCCTGGGCATAGTGAGGAAAGCTGCGGAGGAAGTGATGCAAAGAATCCAAGACACAGATTGGGTGGTGATACCAGCAGAAACAGCTGCTGTTAAGATGCATCACGCCACACACACTGTGAGGCGCCAAGTGTTCCGCCAGAGGCTTGATCAGGAACTGACCAAAGCACGGAACAAGCTGACATGCCTCTTGTAAGAGATAGGAAGAATCAAGGAGGTGTTTCTCCTAAGACAGATCACAAAACATAGGCACTCCATGCATACCCAGGGGTGCCCGCCACCTCTTAGCTTGTCCTTGTGAACACATCCTTCCTGAGATAAGCCAAAGTATGTTAGAGAAAAACTTGGCTTCATTAGTAAGGATTTTTATTTTTCTGTGCCTTTTCTCCTGGCAATTCTGAATAAAGGCTAGAGAGACACTGGGCTCAGGGCGGCAGTCTTGGAGCTGTTTGCCCTCTGCCTTCGGTCTCTTCTCCCCCTCATTCTGGATGTCCCTGTCTCTTCATTCATTCTGGTCGACAACACCACCAGATCAAGAAAATGTATAGTCCAGTGGGTTGGAAAGCATGGAGCACGTGGACGGATGTCCCAACACATGCTTTTTGTCCAAATGGACAATGAGCTAGAAAATAGAGATGTAGGAAGAAAACACATTGGGTGAAATCATCGCAGACCTTCCACATTAGAAGGGGGCAAAAAAACCAACACCTTTCTAGAGGATATCATTGAATAATTGCACAGGTTTTAACCAACCACCCTGATGACCTCACAGCAATACTAGTCATTATACTCCTTTAACCTTAAAAGGTATGACTTGAGCTGTAAACAAAGGAGGATGCTTCAACAATTTAGACCCTCCCAGAAGATCTGTGGGTGAGCATTAACATTACTGGTAAGTATATTCATTTTCTCCTGGACACAGAGCCTACTAATTGGTCCTAAAAACCTTCTGAGGTCCCAACTCTTCTCACTATTTCTTAGTTGTTGGACTGGATGGAAAACCTCATAAGCAGTTCCTTAATTTACCTCTACCTTGCATTTAAACTTCTGAGTTGTAAAACAGCCCAGTGGTAGATGGAATTTGCTCCAGGACTTAAGAACCATAAATGACATAGCTGAGCCTCTACATCTTGTGGTTCCTAACCTGTACACTATAATAAACAAAGTGCTAGTCTATAGACCTTTTATTGTAAGAACCACTTTCCCTCTGTAACTTGATTTGTGCCACTATTAG